GGCGAAGGTACTGAAAACACAGAGCTTGTTTTGTGAGATTTTACAGAGGCTGAACCCCATACTTTTCTTCTGGCAAGTCTATGTCGTATTTTTCGAACTGATCGTCTTTTGGCGCCTCTCTTCACTCGGGTTGTTGGAAGTTCAACTTGAGTCTCAGCTTCTTCTAATCCTGCTTTGTCGAACGCGGTCACAACAGCATCGTTATTCTGCTCCACCGCTGTGATCTCACCTTCCTCTTCCTTTTGCGCCTTGAATAAGGCTCATAATTCTCTTGAATTGAACAAAATTTTTAGCGAGCTTACCTGTTCAGCGTTGGCGGCGATGACTAGAAAGCCAACACATGCTAGGAATATGATCTTCATGATCCGATGTTATTGCAGCGTCGAAAAACGCTTTTATACGCGGCAAAAGAAGCGTAGCCGAACGGGAAAACTCAATCGGAACAGCGAACTCGGTGTTGGCTATCGTGTAGTTGCAGATATATCTGCACATTTGAGTTTGCCGGAATAAAACTGCTGGAGCGAGGATCCAAAGCTGCTAAATCTCAAACGTTAAGTAAACTCAGAGGTTGATGAAGTTCCTGATCGTTTTGCCGATCATTACTATCGACGCTCTCATCAGTCTTGATACGGTTAGTGAATTTTTCAGCAATGTATCAATGTTCTGCGCAGGATTTCTTGTTGTAACATGAGTAATCCAGCTGAAGCTCCAGCTACTAGGATTCGCTAGACATATTTAAATGAAATATCAAGCAAAAATGTGGAACCACAAAGTTTAACTTTTCTTGTTGCACATAGTTTCAAATGATTCCTGAGAAGCAAGGTTCAGAGTCGATGTATAAGTCATGTGTATAGATGATAAAGTTTACTTTGTATTCCATCAAACCTGCAGTATTTCTCATGTATTTTGAAACACAGACTTCTCCAATAAACTAAATCAGCTGTTGAAATCAGAGCTTAATCTTAAAAGGCTTGAAGCGATAAACATTCTCACCTTTAAACAATTGTTTGGATGTAGAACAACATCAGTGGTAATCCTACTTTCAGTACTATGATTTCAAAATGCAACGGCTATGGTAGAAATTTGCGTTTTCATACTTTTGAACTCATTAATAATATGTAAAAGGCGACGTACAGATTTCAAGACTTTCCTTCTTGAGAGATTCAGTGTAGACTCATTGAAAATATAATGAATAGTTAGAATAAGAGTTGTCACTTTTTTAAAAGTTTTTTCTTAGGAGGCTTCGATCGGCACGGGACGGACTTGGCCGCAGTTGCGAGATCCAGTCGGTTATGCTAACGTTGGTCAATTTAGTGCTCCATTTATAGCTTAAGCCTGCACGAAATCAACTTTTGGTCATTTTGAGGACTTCAATGACCAAATGGATTGGAGTGGAAGAAGCAAAAGGAGAAAGCAGGTCTTCGAAACCAGATCTTGGCAGGTCACCATGCAGTGCATATCCTGTTCCGAACTATTTGATTTGAATGAAACAGCACCTAACCACTAAGTTTCAGTTCCATCGAAGGCAGAAAATACACTCTGGTCAGATGGTTCGCCTTCCATTTCCTCTATCTGACCTCATGAAGACTATAGATCTCTTCAAGGACCTCGTCGACGACGATCAGTGGCGCACACAACTGCGATTCAGCAGGGTTAGCGGAGACGTGCGTTTAAATCGTGAGGTGAGCCCGGACATAGAGGGTGAAAACGGCATCATAGAAGATGATCAGCAAATTCTGATTCGGTCACTCCAACGTACCACAATGGCTACACCGATAGTATTCAACGAAGTAGCCAGCGAGGAGTACAGATGGAAGCTAAGTCGAAAATCCAGTAGAATGCTAGCTTCAATGGCATAATAGTCATTCCTGTGTTAGCACATAGATAGCAATTAATGTAAATTGAGATTATATGCGGTGTATTTTTTTTTTTGCAATAAGTCGTAAGGTGAGAAATTTTACATAACAGTGACTAAGTTACTGAGAGGAAGTTGTTAGCGCTAAAAGTAAATTATTTCAAATTTCATGTGTTTCTTCTCTTTGCCGTTCACATAAGTTCTGCAAGTAATAAACCAGAAGCGGAAGGATGATCAATCTGGATGCATGCATAATGCTTCATTACCTATTCTTCTTGGAATAAGAGTACATAGCATGAACTAATGTTTAGGTTGGAGAATATTTTATACATTTTACCTTGTCTTGACTCAATCATCAGTATGTGTCCATCACTTTTAGTATAAAGGTAACTTTAGAAATAATTAATAAAATGCGTTTTTCCATGAGATTTTTACTGTTCCATTAGTTGTTTTAAGTTGGAAAAGGTTTTGCATTTTTGAAGATTAGATCATATGTGGCTTTTGTAGCCAAGAAGCCGTAAAGCACGTGCTACGATACTCCCTACAGAGTCTGCAGCATGCGATCTGCCAGCAATGAGACCCAGGTTCAGCGTAAACGAAGAGGAA